GCAGTCAGAAGCTCGAGCCAGGTGACAGCTCGGCGCTGATAGGACTATGAGGATCAGGTATGCACCAGTCAAATGGGAATACACATCAACCTGGACGCCAAGTGACTTTGTCATATCAAAACTTCGGTCAGGTGCTAGATCGTGATAAGGGCGAACGGTGAACAACGCACAGGATTCCAGGGTCTAGGCCGATAAGCGCTTTGAAGCTTCGACACTGGATATGGATGAAGCTGTCAAACCACACTCCAAATCATCCAAGCGCCATGGTCTATATTGCAAAGATGGAAATGGAAATAATGGAAAGCCCAGGTCTATTCAAGCGTTCATAGAAATCTTAGAATACACAAAGGGAGAAACATCACCTGGGCTCTCTCCGCATGCATGTGATCTATCCATGGATGACTCCATCGCCTTATGTCAGCTCAGTGCCTGAGGCAAAATATGTAGATCATCTCTATACAACATTTATGCGTAGGCTCTGTCTTCCTTTGTGCCTCTTAACCTATTTTCTGATCTTTCTAACTTTGGTTGGATCCTTTGATTTGGTTACTTTTGTTGATATACTTGGCCAGAAGCAGTTGATATGGCCAGGCCAAGCATCTGGGGATTGTACGGCAACTGTTGATACTAGATGCCATTCAATATTGGATGCCTAATTGATGCAAACGCCGGTCACTTGGCGTTGAAAGAAACCCTAGGATAGAGCGATATTCAAGGAGGATCTCGTCGGACTAATATTACTTGCTTCAGTCCTATGACTATCAAAAAGTATAGGCAATGGAAAAGCCAAACACATGTAATATTGTTCACATTGAAGCTGGCTATCTACCAGATCCAAGTAAAAGATAAGATTGTAAATTGTACATAGTGTTGGGGACGTCGTTAAAACAAAGCTATTTTCAAAAATCACTAACGCCAAATCATGCCTTTTCGGACTTCTTCCGCTTTTTTTCCTCCTTATCCTTGTGGGACTTCTTGGACTTCTTCCGGCTCAGACTATCATCCTCCTCCTTTTCTTGTGAGTGCTTCTTTGACTTCTTCCGAGGAAGCGCCGCTGCTTGGGGAGCTTCATCCTCAGCTTCATCGTGATCAAGCTTCCTCTTCCGTTCCTCTCCCCTGGGAATCTTGAATGAAGGCACCTCAGCCTCGGATTCCGAGTCAGATCCAAGAGTCTCTGGAGGCGCAGTGGTTGTTCCGACAGGCCGGAAGCGCATCTTCATGTTCTTCGGCTGCGGCCGGGCTGGCTTGACATATTTGCGCAATTCTGCCACTACAGCATCGGTCTTTTTCGATGTGCTTGGGAGACCGATCATTTCTTGGATGTGGTAACTTGGGACACCCTGGGCTGCTGTGCAATATTTTTGTGTCTTCTCGTCGAAAAGAAGTAGCGATTTGGTAGCGGGATCCGCCTCAGAAAGAGCCTCAACTGGAATACCGTAGTTCACACCCTCGTGGGTGATGATCGGCTCACCCTGCATGATCTTGGCCATGCATACCTCTTTGACCTTGGACAAAGGCAAAGAGGCTGGTGCTGTGAGGTGGAGGACTTGTTTGCCGCTGAGGTTGGAGAGAAGGGAGGTGGCTTTAGAGGATGGCGGGGCCTGCTTCTTTGCAGACTTGAAACCCGCGGGAGGTTTGTATGGCTGAGGACCGGAGATTACGACCCTATGGGCGCATTGATTAGTTACTACCACGGCTGGTATAGGGATGATCTCTCACCTCTTGCCTGAGCTGGAGCTGGGCTTCATTTCGTTAGAATCGTCGGAGTCGCTATCCGAGTCTGAACCTGAGTCCGAGGTTTCATCTTCACTGGATTCCTGCGCCTTCAGATTTTGCGTCATTTTTTTCTCTTTTTCAGTCACAAGCTCGGGCGAGGTCGATCTGCTCGAGCTGCTATCGCTGTCGGATGATGCCATGGCGGCTGTTCAATGTGTCGGGCAAACTCGAGGTTGAGACTAAAAACGCTTTCGCAAGGATGCGCGGCGCTTGGCAATCCCGGAATCCAGAAGATGAATGGAATTGGAAAATGGAATAATGCAAAGGATATATATGCAAAGTTTCAGCACAGCCGATTTCGCAAAATTAATTGGATCGATGTTGAGTGAGGATGCTCATGGTCCAAAGATCTTTTTTCTGCTCCGCGGGAGCACGGACCACCAGCCAACTTTTTTTGCTTATCGGCTTTGGATCGCATTATCGAGGTCGATTTTCTTTCTAGTACAAGCTCAAAGCTCGTGCGATCGAATTGTATAATATCATGGTGAAGCGGAAGGCCGAAAAACAGCAATCAGCTGGTAAGTATATCCGTGCTCTACGACACCAATTCGAAGCTCACCTTGTTGTTTCTCTAGGCCCTGTTAGCGCCGTCGCTGCTTTGGCAGCGCGCAGAGCTCGACAACAGCAAGCACAGACCGCAGATGTACCAAAGGATGCGCCGCAAACTATCATCGAGAGCGGGCCACCCTTGAAAAAATCACGACAGTCTCTCGAGGGACCTGGGGCGATTGAGACAAATGAAGAGCGTCGTAGTACACGAACAAAGGCAGCAAAGAAACAAGATGAACCATTGCCCGCAGAAACAACACCGGAGCGCCCAGTGAGAGTTACCCAGCCTCAAAAATCGGAAGTGAAGCCTGAGGCTGAGGATACTCCTAAACACCCCGAAGACGAGCAGTCTGAAAAACACCAAGTTGGGGATGCGAAAGAGATGGATGAGGATGATATTGCATCTGTTGTGGGTGATGCTGATGGCTATGAATCACCTGCAGAAACACCAGCAGAACTCCAGAATTTCCCTCTATCCAAGGCTCGTTTGAACAAAAGCAACATCGTCTACAGTGATGAGAGCACGCTTTGCATTCGCATCAAGGAACGAACGGTATGGACGAACCTTTCTGGCCATTTGGGGGTGAATACTAACTTGACTTAGAACCTGGCATTGTTGGGCCATTATGACCTCTGGGTCAAAAGAGGTGTTGTCAGTCTGATGGGTGCGAAATTACACCCATCCTCACAACTGCACAGAGTTTATGCTCCCTCCACTCACTCTTTGCCGGTCATCAAGTGTGTTGCTGGAATTGATGGTGATGCAGAAGTGGAGATCAAGTCCTGCACCAGCGGTATTTCCCGCCTCCGTGATCTTTCGCCTCTGTATCAAAGGATATGGGCTGGTGATAGCACTGCTGCAGATAAAATCACCCTGAAAGGGGCCGCAAAAGACTCCAAGCGGACTTTCTCAGTGGTATGCTATCATATTCTACTCCAGCTTGAGCTGTATTCAAAGCTAATTGACTTGACAGTTGTATACATCGGCAGATGATTCCTTAAATAGACATATCCGACCACTTCACCTCGACAAGAAATGGAGTGCATCAATGAAAGCTCTCTCACAACGTGAAGGACAACTTCGTGTTCTAATCTGTGGCCCCAAGGCATCCGGAAAGTCCACCTTCAGTCGCTACTTGTTGAATCACGTTCTCAGTCCGACACCCGAAACCGAGAATGGATATACTAATACTGATGGAGTTGCTTTCCTGGATTTAGACCCAGGGCAGCCTGAGTTTGCCCCTATGGGTCAAGTTTATCTTGCACGCTTGCGCTCTCCATTCTTCGGTCCGCCTTTCACCCACCCATCGTTGAATGATTCCCATGACGGTGAAATAGTGCGGGCACATCATATTGGCGCAGCATCGCCAAAAGAAGACCCAGATCACTATGCACTGGCCGTCATGGATCTTATGGATCAATACCGCTCGTTGCTGGAGAAGCATCCCCAATGCCCTCTGATTATCAACTACCCCGGTTGGATCTTTGGACAAGGATTAGAGGTTGCAACTTGGCTGGTCAGATCTCTCGGTCTCTCTGATGTGGTATATATGAGCGAAAAGGGCCCCTCAGAAGTTGTGGATCCGTTAGGTCTGGCTGCCCGTGAAGCTCGAGTTCCCTTGACAATCCTCCCATCTCAGCCCACTGATTTCGTGAGCCGATCAAGCGCTCAATTGCGAGCGATGCAAATCCAGTCATACTTTCATATGTCTCATCCAAATGATCTCAGCACTTCGCTTTGGTCAGATGTACCGCTATCTCGCACGAGGCCCATTACTGTGGACTATGCTGGTGCACGACAAGGTATTCTGGGCGTCATGGTCATGGGATCCCAGATTAATCCCGATCTACTGCACGAAACGCTTGAAGGTGCTATCGTAGGAGTCGTGGCAGTGGAATCGCCCAAGGCTATCATGAGTGGGATGGAAATATCACAAACACCGAATGACGAAGACCATGAGGATATTGACATGGATTCAGCAAACCCAGGCGCCGGTAATCCAGCTGAGCTTTCCATCGCTGACAGCATTGTACGAACACCCGAAGACCTTCCCTACCTCTTTGTTGGTTCCGGCAGTTGCACCCCATTGGATCCCAAGGCGTCGAACTGTCTTGGTCTGGCTTTGGTCCGTTCGATCGATACCTCTTCGCGCAAGCTTGAGCTCTCCACTCCTATTCCCTCATCTCACCTAGAAAAGGCCATCGAGCAAGGTCATGGCATTGTGCTGGTCCGTGGCCAGCTTGATAACCCGAATTGGGCTATCAGTGAAGAATACTACGCCGCTCGTGCGGCAGAGCGGCGCTACCAGCAATCGACATCAGGGCCGAGGAAAGCTGGAGACTCTGGCAGTGAACAGGCCCACGAGCTCGATCCGGCTGAGCATAGTCGAACGCTTGCACTGCTACGAGAGAGGGTCCGCCGGGCGAGCAATGTGCCTTGGATGACTGTCGTGGAAGATAACAGTCGTCACCAGCGTGAGGTCGCTGCGCGACGAGAAAAGTCACTATGGAAGTTGAGAAAGAAGGCATACCCCGGCAGCGAGAGCGAGGCAGATTACTAGCTCTCATCAAATATATAGAAAATGCACAGTCACAAATACTCCGGTTTCTATATGATATTTGGTTCAATGAGCCAAGGACTACTTCATGACTTGTTCTTATGTTTAAGTACTTCTATGGTCTCAGATACTCCTCAGGGCGGTCAGCTTCTTAAGAACTTTGCTGTCGGCATTTGCGGTGCCCAGCAGACCTGGACTATGTCCGAGTTCATCGGCCGTGAGATCATACGTATCCGCAACCTCGTTGGCCCTACCGGCCAGGTCCTAGATGCCGTATCAGGAGGCATGGACTCTACCGTTGCTGCAAAGGTATTGAATCAAATTTCTTACCACCGGGAGAAGAATGATTTTTCTAACAAGTTCCACAGCTTTTAACAGAAGCTATTCCATGGTATGCAACCCCTCCCCTAGCTAAACCATAATACACTAACACGCATAGCTGTTCTGGTGGATAATGGCTGTATGCGCCTCAATGAATGTGAAACAACAAAATTGGTGCTATCTGAGCAGGTATGAAAACCATCTTGGGGCCTTGTTCTTGATATGCCAATGATGCCAAGACATAGCACGTACATTCGCATATCATGTGAATTTGCATATCGTGTCTTTCGATGGTGTCTTTACATGTCGAGCACAAGGCCTCACCGGGAGAAATAAGCTTTTTCTAACAAGAAGCAGCTTGGTATCAACATTACCGTTGTCGATGCTAGCGAGGAGTTCTTGGACGGACTGAAGGGCGAATATGACCCCGAGAAGAAGCGCAAGTTCATTGGTGGCAAATCTATCGACGTTTTCGAAAGGGAGGCGAGAAAGATCGAGCTTCAAAGCTCCGGCAAAATGGAGTTTTTCCTCCAGGGCACCCTCTACCCTGGTAAGCCATCTACTTATATATAACTCGGTGGCCTTGAAGCTACTATCTTTCTAGACGTCATTCAGTCCATCTCATCCCAGGGTCCTTCGCAGACTATCAAGACTCACCACAATGTGGGTGGTATCGCTGAGCGGCTGATGGCCGGTCACGGCCTGAAGCTGATCGAGCCTCTATGCGAGCTCTTTAAGGATGAGGTCCGCGAGCTGGGCCGCCAGCTTATGATCTCTGATGAGCTTGTTGGCCGCCACCCCTTCCATGGCCCCGGTATTGCTATTCGTGTATTGGGTGAGGTCACTAAAGAGAAGGTCGAGATGGCCCGCAAGGCCGACCATATCTTTATTGGTATGATCCGTGAAGCCGGTCTGTACGACGATATTGGCTAAGCCTACGCCGCGCATGACCCCTCGCGCGCCGTTAGTGTCATGGGTGATAAGCGTGTGTACGCTAATATCATCCTCCTCCGCGCCATTTCCACCAAGGACTTTATGACTGCCACTCCTTACCCCTTCGCCTACGACTTCCTGACCAAGGTTGCTACCCGCATCGTCAACGAGGTCGAGGGTGTGTGCCGTGTTGCATACGACTTCACTAGCAAGCCCCCTGGTACCATTGAGATGGAGTAGATTTCCGGTATTTTCTTGGCTTAGGATTTGGTCGTGTTGCGTTGTGAGGGTTATAATTGAAATTTTTACATTGTCGATATAGATTTGGCTAAAATGATTGAATGCATGTTACCAATTCATGTGCATAGAAAGGAATCAAGTTCATTATTTCATGTTTTATTGAGAAAATTTGAACACTTTAAAATGTCAGGGAACATTGAAAGCGCTTCAGTATGACGAATACTAGCGACGCCTTTGTCAATATTATAAACTCAAGGTTTGCCGTCACCGCGTTAATGATGTTCATAAACAGAACGACCAAGGCTGCTTCCTAATTCTCAAACACTCAAAGTTTGAGACAGCGGGACTACTAACCCTATATGTTTGACGCTGCACTGACAATAGCTGCGCTAGTGGTCAATAGGAAGACGAACTGTAGAGTAGGTATATGCGACTAAATATGTTAGAGAGGCTAGGCTAGCACTGTTAATAGCAGGAAGACCAAGCTAGCCTAGAAGTATTGCACGGTGGTGGCCGAAAAGTAGTTTTGAATACTCTGGGGCGAATTAGACCCGTCATGCAGATTACCAGGGGTTGTCTACCGAGGGGGATACAGGGAAAGTTATAGTCTTTATGGCATGCGTGGAGTTGTACAATGAGATCGATATGAAGGCATGGTAGAGTCCCGATCCGATATAAAGGAGGCTAGGGAAGTATAGATCCGACAGATCTGGGGAATGGTTAGGTTTGGAGCAGGTCGGTAATCTAATCCTATAACATTCTAAACGACTGACTTATGTTGACAGTGATTTTCAACCTTGGGTTTTGGCTTTGGCTGGCTGATCAGTGGGCCTGCGGATTCTTGACAAAGACACGAGAAGCAATAGGTCTTCCGTGGGCTTTTGCAATAGAGCTTCACGGGTGGTGCGTTTCAGAATCCTTATGTATTTCTCTTCCCTATGAATATGACACTGACAATAAACTCATTGGAATAGATGGCATATCTGTACTGGAATAGGGGCCTACACCTTTATTGGTGTTATAGATCACCTGGTCTCCGGTGGGGATCTAAGGGATACCCAGCAGTCATTCGCCTGGCCTGCTTCCTGGGCGTCGAGATCAAATTTCGCAGGACATGGACCGTCTTTGGGGATTAGCGAGAAACAAAAGTGAAACCACTGCCATGTATATTGTACAGAGTATGTGTTTCAAGCAATATCAGTTCGGATGACAATACAAACTGCATCAGCACTAGACTCGATTCAGCAGGCATAATGATATTACCTAGATTACAGTGGTTGGATTAGGGTTAGCGCTGGCCAGGTCTCATTGGGGGCTAAACCTAAATAGGCAAAGCTAACTCGAACAGGCAATTCATAGGCCGTTTAAACTGTCGATACAGGTTTGGCTAGGACTGAACGCATGAGGAATCAAGTCCATTATTACATGATTTGATTGAGAAAACAGATCTAGAGGGCTACTAAGAAGTAAGAGTTGATGCGGGAAGAAAGAAAGAAACTACGTATCTAAAGAGCACTGGGAATACATGCCTGGGAGCAAACAGGCAGATTATATGAACTCCAAAATTTACATATATTGAGCAGTTCATATAAGATGAGGGTGTGGGTAACAAATGCAAGGCTGAAAGCAAGAAAGAAACGTTATATGCATAACGTTTGATAAGACATAAAGCAGACTTCGAAATAACTCCCTGATATCCTTACTTCTACCACGACTGGAACATGAGGGTTGCCACGTTCCGGCCCATCAGTGCACTAGTCTCCATTGTCGAGATGAAGCTCTCTATGCCACCCGTGTACCATACACCCGGAGCCAAGAGAGTCTCTTCAAATGTCACTCGCGGATACTCAAGAGGATATGGGTTCCATAGCTTCTCATGGAACCAACTGATATCGCCTGTCAAGAGGTCTCCAATAGTCGTATTTCTCCCTATAGTCTCACTCTCTAGTCCCAGAATCTGCGCAATGAATTCAGCCGTGGGGCGCTCTGGCGAGAAGATTTTGTAGACGTAATGTTGCTGCGTATCCTCGGATTCCGCGACAGAATGATCAACTGTTCGAAGTGTACTGATACTCCAGAAGCCGCTAGGCCCAACGCCAGCTGGGTTTGAACCCAGATCAAGGCCCTCGGGTAGAGTAGTCAGAATGGTCTCAGGCGCTCGAGCATTTAGATCTAGGCCAAAATACTTCGATGAGATGCGGTGTGGGGATGCAAAGAGTGTAACGTGCAGATTGGAATATGGAATCTCATCTGGAGTGTACTCCAAGGGAGGGGAGATGGAGATCTCCGAGTACTGCAAAGGACCGGCAATGACAACTTCGTCGAATTCCCCATCCTCTGAGTTGGCAGCGGTGTTTAGCTTTGAGGATACCCGCATGGTCCCATCATCGTTGCGTAAAATCTCGGTGACCGTGGTATTCACTTTGATATTCGCTCCAGATGCTGTCAGTGCGCCATCAAAAATACGCCAATTTCCGCCCTGGATAGAAACCGCTCCATCCGTAGCCATACAGACGATAGATTCCAAGCCATGAATCAACTGCAGGTTCTGCCCATAATTCACTCGAGTACTCGCTTGGATGATCTCCCTTGCAAATAGCGAGTCAATGCTATTTGACTGGAGAAACACATTGCCAGAAGATGCAGTGGCATTGATCAAGTCGGCCGCGATAGCCGCCTGAGTGAGAGAGCTGAAGGGGAACAATGGCTCATCGTAAAGGCGGAGAAACCTGCTAACAACACTCTTCACCAAATTCTGAGTACGCAGTGGCGCCAGTCCATACCGCCAGAACAGCCGGCCAATATTCCACCAGTTATACGAATTCTTCATCGTGAAAACAAATTGGTTCCCATCCCAGATCCCGATACTCTCATCGGTCTCCCTAGGCCGTGCATGATCAGCACTATTGACCATTAGGCCGAGATCACGGGATGCGTTGACCAGGTTATAATTAATCTGGACAAAGATGGAAGCGCCCAGTTCAATAGGGTACGCTGGGTTGTCGAATACATTGACGGTTGTTGAGCGGCCGCCGACATATGATTCACGCTCATAAACTGTGATATCGACAGGGATGTCGGCTTCATCTGCGAGCTTGCGCAGTTGATACGCAGTAAACGAGCCTGCAGCACCGGCGCCTATGAAGGATATCAGCCCTGTATGTCTTATATGTCTTATTGTATAGAAAGATGCATACCAATTACTGCTACCCGCTTAGGGGTTGCACTAACGGCTCCTCGCAGTGGCTCTTGCTCTGCTGCATTGCCAAACGAGACCAGTAGGATGGAGTATAGGAAAAGAGAGAGAGGTTGCATAGACAGCATGATTTATGGTAGTACTCGAAGATAGCAGAGATGATTGGCAGTTGAACAGCCAATGCTGATTAGCCAGAGATTAAATACAGATCAAATATTAGACATCCATAGATGAAAAGGATGAATGGAGGTTGAAGTGGTCAAGGGCGGACAACTTGGTAGTACGTATCAATATCACGCTAGTCTATTTTAGGACTGGTGCATTTTCATATCGCTTATCTTTTAGAGGGGCGCTTCACAGATTTGATTCACTTAACTCCGAATTAATTCAAGATGGATCCCTACGACAGTGACTCCAGTGTCGACGAAGACTTCACCGATACCGGTGTTCTTCTAGGCTATGCCGCCGAGGATGTCATCGAAGATGTAATCAGCCATCTTGGAGGCTGGCCGGTATGTTTAATCACTGCGAGGGATCACTCTCTATAACCAACTCCAACTAACAATCGCAATTATTTGTTCAGAAATGGCTTGATGAAGCCTCCCCAGCACCTGGTGACTTCGCCAATTGCAAAGTCTGCAACAGCCCAATGCTGCTCCTCCTCGAATTGCACGGCGACCTGCCCGATCACTTCCCAACTGACGAACGACGCCTATACCTATTTGGCTGCCCCAGAAAACCCTGTAACCGCAAGCCAGGCAGTATCAGAGCATTCCGCGCAGCACGGAAGGTCCTCGTCGGCGGACAAAACAGACAGGTTGAAGCGAAAGCAGAAGAAACCCAGCCCGCCGTACCAGAGCAACCCAAGCAGGATCTAGGCGCGAGCCTGTTCGGCGCAACAAACCTGACAAGCAACGTTTCCTCGAACCCGAACCCCTTCTCATCAGCTTCGGGCCCAACACCCGCAGGAAGCAACCCCTTCGCAACACCGGTCCAGGCAACAGCACCTACAGCCGAGAAGCCCGCTGTGTCTGAAAGCACCCTGGCCTCATCTTTCGCCGACAAAGTGCGCATTTCCTCGCCGCCCCCCTCAGCCGCAACAAAGAAAACACCAGAATCAAGCACAACGGCGCCGTGGCCCGCGCAGTCCGCGTTCCCTACACCGTATAAGAATTTCTTCCTAGACGCAGAATACGAGACTCTCTCGGATCCGTCTACACCCACAGTGCCAGATAATGTGCAGATCGAACCAATGGAGGAAGAAGGCGCCGGCGGCCCCGAGCTCAAGGATACCTTCGAGTCCGAGCTGGACAGGGACTTTATGAAGTTCTCAATGCGCCTCGAGCACAACCCGGAGCAGGTGCTGCGGTATGAGTTCCGTGGTGCACCACTATTGTACTCGACTGGCGATGAGGTCGGTACCCGGCTGCATGCTCACAATGCCCCTAATGCCAAGGTCACCACAGTCGGTGCGGGGAGCATTCCAGCTTGTGAGTACTGTGGAAGTCAACGTGTGTTTGAGTTTCAGCTTGTGCCACATGCTATCAGTATGCTTGAGGAGGGACGTGCTGGTGTTGGTCTTGGAAAGGATGATGCGGGCATGGAGTGGGGCACTATCATCATGGGGGTCTGTGGTAAGAACTGTACACCGCAAGAGCTGGGCGTTACTGGGTGGCGTGAGGAATGGGCTGGTGTGCAGTGGGAGGAGTTGAGGTAGATGTGATGTTCTGCATTAGATGAGAGTATTTTGTCTACCCTAGGTTTTACATAGCAGTGTTACCAGGAAAATCAAGTGTTTTCTAGCTATAGACAGAGTTTGCTCTGTATTGGCATTTTGAATACATCATCGAGGGATCGCCTTTAACTTTTGTGTCGCATTTAATGTAGAAAATGGCTCCCCTATGGAATGTCCGAGGCTACGAATAAGGAATCCATCCTGCATCAATGCCAAAATTGTACGACGATTCTCCATGTCCCTAAAAAGCATATTTGATTCAATGATGTTTTCAGAGCATACTTACGTAGAATTATAGTTCGTTATAGTTCACCCTCGTTTTTGACGCATGCATTGGGCAAAAACCTGATCTATAAAACTTTTTACTGCTGAAAGTTACACATGGCCAACAACAATAATAGACAAGATCGGCGAAACCCTTATATATGCTAATCTTGGAAGGAAGAGGACCTCTGTATATATAACCCTTCAACCCTAGTATCGTCTCTTCTCTTGAACTCCATAAGCATTTGTCTGCTTACTCTACACTTCAGCTATAGCAACATCAAGATGTCTACTATCGAACAAATCTTGGGAAAGTTCAATGATGTAGTGGTCCGAGTCCCATCTCTGTATTCATTGTCGCCTTCCTGGTACCCCAGAGTGGTCCCAGACTTGGAACGAAAAGTGGAGGAACACATAGAATCATGGCGTCAACGGTATGTAGCTTTAGTCAAATGATCTATTTCAGCAATACTGAAATCCTGAAGCTGGCTACCGGAGCCTACTGCTTACAAGCAGAACTTGGCTGCCGACTGCAGTTACATCACACGCGCTATCACTCCAGATGCCAACGTGCCGAACTTGCAGATTGGAGGACGGTTCGCTAGCTGGGTACCTGAACCACATTTCTTTGGATCTCCATTTGGCTAACTACGATCATATATCAGCTTTTTGCTTGGGATGATGGTATGTTCATATCTCCTTCGAAGTTTGTCTCATGGGTTCTGACTAACATGAAATGGATCTCGATTTGGGAGTCTTCAGTGGCGGGGCGAGGCAACGAGAGCTAATACGAATTGAGATGTCAAGGGTCATTCAGAAAGCCCTTTTGGGCAAGACTGATACTGAACAACCCTCTGACTGGAAAGATACTCCCACGACTATGGCTGAATCGTTTTACGACATAGGATTCTCGCTTCAAGAAGGCACCGAGCTTGGTATGTCTATATCCTCACTCAGGATCTTAGATATTATTGGCTAACTCGGTGCACAGAACCTCTCCAGCACTTCCTCTGCGATGAACTTTGTAAATATGTCACAGGAGCAGTCAGATTAGAAGATGCGTTCCAGGACGGTATCATCTTGGACTTGGACGTCTATATAAAAGACAGGGCGGAAACTTCAGGTGTCTATCCCACGATAGGGCAAGCTTTGTGAGTCTCATATTAATATTTCATATGCCACTTACTAAAACTTGTATTAGGATTCTACAGAATATCGCTCTCCCAGCTTGGTTTATCAACCATCCCGTGCCAAAGAAAATGTTGAGACACACCAGCATCATGGTAGCACTGTGGGTACATGATCAAATTAATGGAGACCTCGTGCTAACAAGTCCACCATAGGGGGAACGACATTGTCTCTGCTCGCAATGAAATGGTAATTCCTTTCTGCAAATATATAAAACCTTGAAAGCTGACTGTTTCTAGGGCTGCAAACATGTGGATAACGTGATCCCCTTGCTCGTTCATCATCAAGGATTAGATCCACAGGAGGCAGTTTATCATACATGCCAAATCATTCATGATAGCTATACTGCTTTCGAGAGCCTTGTGCCAGATGTTCTTGCCCTTGCATCTGAAAATGGGTTAGCCGAGGGTTCAATGTTTGTGACAGGTTGCAAAGATGTCTGCATGGGACTGGCGAGCTGGACGTATGGACTCTCCCTCAAGTGATCAAAGGGTTTCAGGTTCAAATCTGACAAACTATGGCAGATACCATATCAAACGATACCATGATTTTCGACTAGAAGAAGGGGAGACAGAAGCTTTGATCGCCATGTCATAGTAGGGGAGTAGGCTTCTACATTCCCCGATCATTGAACGTGAGATCGCTGCTATATATATTGTTCTTGTTTCGGTTCTACTACATACACGTTAAACTCGTCTAGATGCATCTCCCTCCTATAAAGCCAAGTAATAAAAGCGTAAGAAAAATATATGATTTCAAATAGCTTGAGACGTCTTTCCTGGCGACTGATAGTCTGATGCAATAAAAAAGCGACGATTGATATCAAATGTGGATGAAAAGCCATATATGTATGTTGTGCAACAAAAGAAAAGATCCCAGAGTGCTCGGAGCTATGAGCTTCAAGCTATGATGGGCTGGAATGAACTGACCAAGCGATCCGGCGAATCATGTTCATATAATTTGCGCTTGCATCCTTAGTAATGAGGCTATGTCGTGCTGCGTGTCTCTCCATTCCTTTTACATCTAGAACTGGCTCTGTATGATTTTTTATATTGGCAGCAAAGCCGGGCCCTACATGGAGGCACGACTGAAGTTATGTTATGGTATGGACATGACATCTTTCTCTCTTCCTCATATTATCCAGTGCAAATATTTGCATGGACAAGTAAAAAAAAGAATCCAATACAGACAAGAGAAATAGAAAAAAAAGAAAACGCCAGATGCGCCAGGTCCCGACTCATCTCCGAGCCCCTCCTCCATGCGAAATCTATCGTCGGTTCGTCACTTGATCGGGGGTGGGATTCATGAACTCATGTCATGGATGGGAAACGAAATTTCCCTCGCACAGCTTTTTGGAGATTTTAAAAAAAGGTGATACGAAAATCGGAAAGAAGTGGAACATTTCGAATCGAGAGAAGAAAAAAATCAAGAACAAAGAGTTTGCGTAAACGCTTATGCGGGCAACTCAAAGCCACGACGGATGACACGACCGAACTGCTCGATGCCGACGTGCTCGCTCTTGACCTCGGAGCGGGCCTCGTTCTCCTTGTTGGTAGGCACGCGGATGAGAGCACCATCAACCTTCCAGCCGCAGACATCGACGACGAACTTGTCGAGGGCTTCACGGCTGCGGATATCGAGCCAGGACTCGAGGATCTCGGGGGTGATGGAGCGGAAGGTGTTTCCGACCTCGATGGCGATGCGGATGCGGACGAGTTCCTCGAAGCCGGCGACGTCGGCGGTCAAATCTGCGTACAGATCGTCCGAGTTCAGGGTGGACCAGAACTGGGCGTACTGGGCGGACTCGAGGAGGGTGGACAGACGGGTGAGCTTCTGGACGGACTCGACGAAGTCAGAGGTCTGCGAGGCGGATTGGGCTTCGGTTGCGGAGGGGAAGGGCTTGGTGCTTGTTGGAAGCAGGGCGAGGCAGAGCGAGAAGGCGGGCGAAGGGAAGACGGTCAGGGCCTTGGCCAGGATGTTGGTCACGGTGTCGGGTTGGATGAGGTGGGGGTTGAACTGGAAGCTGGATTTTTGAAAGAGAGCTGTTGTCAGCTTGGATTCGAGGATTTCAGGATGATTCCATGTGTTTAGGAGAAGTATGCGATGCTGTTGGTTTCAACCAATGCATGGGTTCTTCCCATTCAGTATCTTCACAGAATTTCTCAACATGCCCAAGTATATTATGGGGATGTCAGGTAATAGGAAACGCTTAAAAGATACTCATCATAGTAGAGCTTCTCAAATATGATTTTCGCAACGCAATTCCATAAAAGAAGGGGTCCAACTCACAGCTTCAGCAGGGCCAAGTTGGCGTAGCAGTCGAATGACCGGTCCTCGCACTGCTGGGACACATAGTCCTGGAAGACGGTGGTGGTCTCGGGGTTGTACCGGTCGAGGCCATTGAGGATGGCCTCAATATGGGCGGGCCGGGTCTCACACTTGTCGAAGGCGACCATTTTGATATTGCTGAAGGGAGGTGGGAGGTGATGCGGGTCTTTTGTCTCTGCTGTTCTTTTTGGTGGGATTTTCCAAGGTTTGATTTGATTGTGGCCGCGGCCGGATTAACCTAAAAGGGCACGTTTACCCGGATTCTTCCGGACTATATTACAATAAAAACTCGAGTCTCCGAAAAAGTGACCAATGGCCATGGATTGATCCGTGTTCAAATAATACATAGAATACATATCTCTTGAATGCCTCGTGCGATCGTAACATCTCAATCATAACCTAGCGCCAGTCGCCAAAATGGAAACCCGCTGTACAGACGTGCTTGAATCGTTGAACTCCGTAAAGATCGAACGAGATGCCCAAGAGAAGAAAGGCATATCACCTCAAGAAAGAATGACTGAAATCAAGGCTGGTAAAACAAGAAACTCCGTGTCAGACGCCATAGTCTATGCCCATACCCATAACGCAAGAGGAAAAAGAAAAAAGGCCGAATCAGTATGCAGAATGAGCAATGCAGAAATCGGTCAAAACACCTTGCTAACCCGGATAAAAGCACAAAAAAAAGGGAATAAAGAACAAGGTCAAGGTTGAAAGTGCCTGGAAAACAAAAAGAACAAAACAGGCGGGTATCTCAATAAGAGGTTCATGCAAATGATGAAAAGAATATTTCAAGCCATGACAGGCCGGCGAGACGCAATAGGGATCGCCTTGGGCCCCGTGGAAATTTCGAGGTTCGACACGTCGATGTCGTTACCGTCATACTTCTGGTCCTCGTGTGGCTGTCTCGCCTTCGAGACGAGGACTGGCTGACTAGGACTGGGGCTTTCTTCGTCACCCATAGTGCTGCAGACAAAGCGTTCCTCGTTAAGAGGAATGCCGCCAAACATTGAGCCCAGCTGCTGCAGAAGTGCGACGAAATGAGCATGTAATTCGGTAAAGATGTATTCATTGCCAACGATTTCGGCCAAATTACGGGCGCGAATCTGGCCGGCTGCACGCCGGCCCGCCGGGTCCATACCGCGGCCAGTGAGGAAGGATGAAACAGGAGGGTACTGGCGGCCGGGTTGTCTTCCCGGGTTGTTCTGCTCCTCGCGGGTCTTCTCGTCTTCCTGGAAGCGTTCAGCAGCGTTGACAATGCTGGTTGCGATGCGGCCGAATGCGCGCCAGATGATGGGGCATGCGCGGAATGCTCTTCCGGCGTCTCGCCCCGCCAGTGCGACCAGTGCATAGCTGCGTCGCTTGCCGCGGGCCATGGGGTCTGGAAGACGGAAAATGTAGGCAATTGTGTAACCAGCGACTCCGTCGCCGAAGCAGATGGGGCCGGAAGAAAGTCCCCGGGGGAGGAGCTCACAGCTTAGGGTGCGAATTGAGGAGCGTCGGAGAAGTGCATAGTCAGCGGGTTTAGGCGGCCCGCGCTGAGAGAGATAGGTGTGAATGTGTGTATGACATGAAGCGTCGGAGGCCACTGAGGCAGAGTGAAGTGAGTCGGGAGGAGAAGCATGGGTGTGATAGTCGGTCTCATCATCTTCCGAATGGTTGTTGCCACATGAGTAAACGAGCTCGCGCGAGCGGAGCACCGGACTAGTAGAATTTCCTTTTGCGTCGCGACTTCCCGGCGCACCGGGAGGTAGCTGTTTGCTCACATTTTCCGGCAGAGACAAGCTGCAACTGGCGCAGGTGTCGCCATTTGCGCCACCCCGGTTGGATTTATCTTCGGGAGATGCCGGATGTCCTTTGAGGAAGTATGGGTGATCTTCGATTCTGGGCGACTTGGACTCGGTAGATTTATGAGATCGCTGATCGAAACGAGACTCAGAAGGAGTACCCTGAGGAGAGTCGGATTCGGGGTGACATTGCGGGCATGAAAAAGGTAGGACCTGCGAGCAAATGATAGAAGTGGGACCATGCACCTCGCAGAAGTGCGTCAAAGAAAGCTTCGAAGGTCAGTCCAAGCTCTGGGAATTTCAACTTATTTACTCACAATGAAATCCATGGTGGAGCTGATCAAGCAATAACCAGCATGTCTAGTCCATTGTCGCCAGGCATGCTGTGACTGGATAATAATGACGAAAGACTGGTATGCGGATCCACACAGTGACCAGGTTCCCGGGGGAAGGTTAAAAAGTAAAAGGGACAAAAAAAAAAAGGGCAAAGGGTGAGATATTAAAGAAGAAGGGAGAGAGAGACTAAGAGACTAAGAGAGTAGTGGAGTGTGATAAATAAGAATCGAAGGGGCTAAAAGGCCTGGGACTTTTTCGGTCGAAGGCCGGGACCTTAACTTCCTGGAAGGTCGATGGAAGAATAGAACCTCTCCACTTATCCACTTTCCACTTTTTTTTTTTCTATTCTTTTACTTCTCTTTTCTCTTACTTCTCTTACTTCTTTTACTTCTCCTATAACTCTCTTCTCTTTATAAGAGTCCTTATATCCGTACCTTTGGCCTTATATAGTTACACCACCCTTCCGGATGTGTTCCGATCACATTCTTTTACGCCTGGATTGCTGCATGTGAAAGTCATTCTAGAATCGGCCCGACCATTAATATTCATAAGTTTCCGTTCTTTGCCTAGCGTCTTTGTCCCGAGGGGCTGTTCTCATCTGCCCTTGGACCGTTGCGTAGAAGTGGATATAACTGCAAACAGGGGCTCCATTTGGTAATATATGTGGTACCAATGATCGTGCAGATAACTAAATACTATCTACTCTCTTGATCTGAATACAATATCCATATTAGATTTCTAAGAAATTATATGATCTATCAATTGGACAAATCGTCAGTTCACCGTTCCCTATTTGGGGCATAATCTGTAAGGGTTTTTGCTTTTCTATTTTTTTTATTTTTTGCTTTTTTCTGACTTTTCATGTCACTCGAAAATCAGCATGTGTCAGATCAGTCGACAGCCGTCTTCCAGCCATCAGCCCGGCGGGTTTCCTCGGGGAGTAATCTGGAGATAGCTCCGTGTTAGGGGGACGGTAAGGAGGTGAAGGGAAGAATTCCCTGGCCTCCGATTTGTTGAGGTCATATTGGATGTGTATCATATATCTTCGGTTACAGTCCCTAGATAGACGATCTTAAAAACATGCTCATCTTTCCCTGAGCGGGACACAAAGCAGTTCCGTGGAAAAGTGGGAATTGGGGGAATTAGCGTAAGCAGGGATCTAAACTTTGTGGGATTTCCCGACAAGCCTCCGGGACTTGGATACCCTTTTCGCCGTTTTTGTTTATAAATCATAGTTGTACTCCGTACGTTGTATGCGTTTAATACGTAGTAGTATACACTCGAGGTTGGTCCACTAAAGATCTCCCCTTAGGATGATCTTCTCCGGAATTGAATTCCATTAAATCAAGTTTATGGATCCGTTCATCCGTCCCGTCTAAATGGCAAACAGACCGGGTAAGGTACATACTCCGGACCAGGATATACATATACAGGCTATTCCCCAAATATGAAACAGACCTTGATACTCCGATATGGCAGTTGCCCCGGCATTGAGCCGGGATCTTGAATCCTAGATCCTTGCCGACGGAGCCAGCTGACCTCCGGACGGAGTATACGGAGTACGGAGTACAAAGTACCAGCCTTGTATCACTAGTAGCACACTAAGCACAGTAGTGTATAATGTGTAGTGAGGTCCTGTCATCTACTATAACGTATATAATATATATTATATACCATTCCTTTACTATTCTCACCCTACCCTATCACACCGAGTATATTGAAGATCCATTAATTTATGGTGAGGGATTTAAAAGAAAAAGAAAAACAAAACAAAAGCGAACCCACCGGACACGAGCGGATCCCCTGTCGCCACATAGGCACACGACACTTTAACGGGTTTTTTGATGGATTGCCGATTCCCGGATTATTTATTTCCGTTATTTGCCGGGTCTTCCACTAAACGTACAAGCCAAAATGTACTAGTTATGGTATATTATCAATGTAATTGAGTTTGTACCCACATGGATATTCACCGATTACTTTGGGAAGGTCGTTTAGGTAAGTTCTTATTCGGCTCTGCAGAAGTGGATCGGCTATGAGACATCTTTATATTTGTCAGGAACAATCGATCCAGCCCTCCACGTGGAATTCCTAAAGTACTAGATTGCTGATCTTATATCTTATATCCAACATAGGTACCATACAATATATACTACATTGTATACATTCATTGAGATGGCGTAGCATTAATAGAGGCAAGTCATAAAATCAGGGCACTTCGACACGACCGTGGTTCTATAGCCGACATTAATAATATCTATCGTATACGCTTCTATCCTCGCCACCGGCTATGTCTACGTGGCTTCCACCTGGGCACTTGGGTTGGTCACAAGTATTATGCATCCCTGGATGTTATGCAGTTCCTGCATGTCTTCATTGCCCTAACCCCACTAGGCTATTCAAACTTGGGGACCGTCCCGGTGAACCATATATCTTAGGAATGTGGAACATATCTTAAAAATAAACAAGTTCTATATGAGGGATCTGGTAGACAAGTAATTGATTTCCCAGCTACATCTTTAAAAGGGTATATGACTACTTAATCTAGAGAAGATAGATCAAGATTGTGAGCAAAGCCTCATGTAGCCGTCATAGGCAGAATTGTTAAGCCGACCCATGATCATCCAGTTACTGCCCAACTTACCTTGGGCATGGGTACGGAGTACAAGTTGAACACCTGAAAGATGAAATCAGACGTGGTTTTTCTTGTTTTTCCATTGATAGCCATCATGGCATTTTCAAGATGTTGGTTTGACCGCGTTATCAGCCCCGTTATCCCTTTTCTCCGGGGTGTGTAAAGCGTTGTCACAGAACCATATTCACCAACAACCAGAATAGGAATAACCCTTGTCTTTGGTGGACGGATCGCCTTGTCTCACGAATGAGACATTTCTTCAGTCAATCGCATTGGACTGGCATCAAATCCATTGCCGAGTCAGACCTCGGGAGTCTGCTCTTGCTTCCTCAGGCATGTCGAATGATTATTCACACACATAGCACAAGCATGTACTGTCACCTTCAAGGGCGATCATACTTGGGCATGCGCATGTTCATCATTGACAGCATATTACCCGCCGGACCAGAAGCTCCAGCTTGGCCCTGAAGACTCTCCAGCAGATTCTTAGCGAGGTTGATGTTGATGTTCTCATCCTCATCATCTTCACTGGAAACCTTGGCAGCCTTTCCTTTGGATGCGCTTGCTGCGCTAGATAATTCATGCGGGAGCCGGTTGAGATCGAGCACGCCCGTTCCTTTCAATTCCGCCTCCATTAGTCGGGAAAGCTCCTTGATCTTCTCCGTGTCATCCTCTGTGTCCGGATCGAGTTCTTCTACTCGTTGGCGGATGGAATCGGATGCAGAGGGCATGCCCATCATCTCTTTCATCATCCTGGAGAATTCCTCTTCGTTGAATGATGCGTCCTTATCCTCGCCTTCACTATCGACTTCATCGTCATCATCGTCGTCGTCGACATCAGAATCCGTATCAAAGTCATCAATGAAATCGGCACCATCGAAGCCTGCTTTGCTGTCATTCAAGAACTCTTCAAAGCGAGCCACGATCCTTTGAAGATTTTCTTGAGCACCAGAATCACCGAATTTGCCGGCGTCTGCTCCCTTTCCTTCGCCTCTGCCTTTGAGCTCTGTCTCCAGATCTTCATAGTTGATATCAAGCCATTTTTCATCGTCTTCTCGCTTGTCCCAGGTTTCTTGGATTTCTTTATCAGTGGGAAGGATTTCATCCCCTGTATCCACATCCTCGAGCAGGAACTTCATTTCCCTGACTGCAGGCTTATCTTGATTTTGGGGGTCGTACAGCAGCATCTCGAATCCACACGCAAGTTTCATTCCCGCTTCCGCTCGCTCGAATGCTTTCTTATCCTCGGTTGAGGGCAGCTTGCCCGCCCAGGAATTTGGCACAGGGAATTCCTGACTTTTGAGTTGCGCATATCCGACACGGGTAAAACGAACACTAACGTCAACCAAGTCGTCTGGCTTGAAAACAAGGTCGGACGCATCCTTCGATCGTAGTGGTCGCAGGGCGATCGGATCACGAACATAGAACGCCTCCACAGCAGGTGAGATATAGGCTGGCTTTTGGTGTAGAAGGAATGCAGCCTTGCGAGGAATTGTGATGATGGCGGAGTGAAGATTTTCGTTGATTTGCTGAGGGTAGTTGCGCAGACGGTAAAAGGCCTCTTCTTGAATTATTGTCGAGCGAAGAATGCGACCGGGGTCGCTCTGGATGATCTTTCGTGCTTCTGGAAGTGAAATTTTCTCGGTGACCTGTCTCTTCGTCTCCTGCTTTGGTTTGATGATTCGGAGCTCTCCTTGGTGAATCCACACCTGATTCATAGATTGCCAGGTTAGTATGTCTCTAATAAGGCGACGTGAATCAACTAGCCATAGCTCACCCTGTTGTCTGCAACGTCTGGCTCTATCCATGCTGGGAGTGTGCCCGAAGCTTCAATGAGAAGAAACTCGCCATCGCCGTCCGCCACTTTGACCCAAATATCTCTGTGCCGCTTGGTCAGTTCGCGAAGGAAGTACACAATGACCCATTCATCTTCAATAGAGTCGCCGAACGTGGTGCGGCCCTGTAATGAAGTGATTCCTAAACCCCGCGACAATTAGCTTTTAACTTTATTTAGATATAGTTCTTAAGAACAAGACTTCCTTCCGTACCGTCTTCTTTTGTAATTTCCAATCGAAAGGCTTCGCGCTGCCAGATGTAATCCTTGAGCAGATCTTTGGTTAAATCTGCTGCTGTACGTTGCACCTCGAGTAATCGTGCCCGGGTCTCGGCAGCTTCATCGATAACGGCGGGGGTGGGGGAGAGCGGGATATGATAAATTGAGTAGTCGACAGCGTCGTCGGGGAGCTCTGGTTTTGGGATAGGACGGAAGGTTGATTCAAACCATGCGCGATCCTCTTCAGAAGTCATGGCTGATTTAGTGTCAAAGACCGTGAATGACCTCATGCATTCTTCTGATAG